ATAAGAGAGTATTTTGAAAAATCATTTTAGGAGCAAAGGACGATATTTTGAAAAATCATTTTATGAGCTAAGAAGAGTATTTTGAAAAATAATTTAATGAGATAAAGACGAGAGTATTTTGAAAATTCATTTTAGGAGTAAAAGAGAGTATTTTGAAAATCAAGGAAAGTATTTTGAAAAATCATTTTAGAAGTTAAGGAGAGAATTTTGAAAAATTATTTAATGAGATAAGGCGAGTATTTTGAAAAATTATTTTATATGAGCTAAGGAGAATATTTTGAAAAATCATTTTATATGAGCTAAGGAGAGTATTTTGAAAAATCATTTTATATGAGCTAAGGAGAGTATTTTGAAAAATCATTTCATGAGTTAAGGAGACTATTTTGAAAATTCATTTTAGGAGCAATGGAGGGAGTATTTTAAGAAATCATTTAAGGAGCAAAGGAGAGAGTATTTTAAGAAATCATTTTAGGTGCAATGGAGAGTATTTTGAAAAATAATTTTATGAGCCAAATAAGAGATTATTTTGAGAAATCTTTTTAGGGGGCAAAGGAGAGTATTTTGAAAAATCATTTTATGAGCTAAGGAGAGTATTTTAAAAAATCATTTTTTGAGCAAAGGAGAGAGTATTTAAGAAATCATTTTAGGGGCAAAGGAGAGTATTTTGAAAAATCTTTTTATGAGCTAAAGAACAACGTATTTTGAAAATAATTTAATGAGCTAAAGAAAGAGTATTTTGAAAAATCATTTTATGAGCTAAATAAGAGAGTATTTCGAAAATTCATTTTAGGAGTAAAGGAGAGTATTTTGTAAAATCATTTTAGAAGCAAAGGAAAATATTTTGTAAAATCATTTTAGGAGCAAAGGAGGGTAATTTTGATAAATTATTTTATGAGTTAAGGAGAGTATTTTGAAAATTCATTTTATGAGCTAAGAGAGTATTTTAAAAATTCATTTCAGGAGCAAAGGAGAGAGTATTTTAAGAAATCATTTTAGGGTCAAAGGAGAGTATTTTGAAAAATCATTTTATGAGCTAAAGAAGAGAGTATTTTAAAAAATTATTTTAGGAGCAAATGAGGGTATTTTGAAAAATCATTTTGTGAGCTAAAGTGAGTATTTTTAAAAAATTATTTTAGGAGCAAAGGAGGATTTTTGAAAAATCATTTTGTGAGCTAAGGAAAGTATTTTTAAAACTCATTATGAGATAAGAATAATATTTTGAAATACCATTTTTTTTTAGCTAAGGAGATTATTTTGAAAATAATATAATTAGCTAAAGAAGAGAGTATTTTGAAAAATCATTTTATGAGTTAAAGAAGAGAGTATTTTGAAAAATTATTTTATGAGATAAAATAGAGAGTGTTTTGAATTAGGAGGTAAGGAGACTATTTTAAAAACTCATTTTGGAAAATCATTTTATGAGCTAAGGAGAGTAATTTTAAAAATAATTTTATGAGCTTAGGAGAGTATTTTGAAAAATCATTTAATGAGCTAAAGAAGAGAGTATTTTGAAAAATCATTTTATGAGCAAAAGAAGAGTGTATTTCGAAAAATCATTTCATGCGTATTTTTGAAATCATTTTTGAAATCATAATTTTTAAAAATGCTCAAAGGAGCTAAAGAGTATTTTGAAAAATTCATTATATGAGCTAAGGATAGTATTTTGAAAAATCATTTTATGATCTAAGGAGATAGTAATTTTCAAAAAAAAAAATCTAAGGAGATAGTATTTTGAGAAATCGTTTTAAGAGCAAAGGAGATAGTATTTTGAGAAATCGTTTTAAGAGCAAAGGAGATAGTATTTTGAGAAATCGTTTTAAGAGCAAAGGAGAGTATTTTGAATGAGCTAAAGAAGAGAGTATTTTGAAAAATCAATTTATAAGCTAAAGAAGAGAGTATTTTGAAAAATCAATTTATAAGCTAAAAGAAGAGAGTATTTTGAAAAATCAGTTTATAAGCTAAAAGAAGAGAGTATTTTGAAAAATCAGCAAAGGAGAGTATTTTAAAAATCATTTTATGATCTAAAGAAGATAATATTTAAAAAAATCATTTTAAGAGCAAAGGAAGGTATTTTAAAAAATCATTTTTTGAGCTAAGGAAGGTATTTTGAATATGAATTAATGAGTTAAAGAAGAGAGTATTTTGAAAAATCATTTTATGAGCTAAGGGGAGTATTTTGAAAAATCATTTTATGAGCTAAGGAGAGTATTTTAAAAAATCATTTTAGGAGCAAAGGAGTGTATTTTGAAAAATCATTTTATGAGCTAAGTCGAGTATTTTGAAAATAATTTAGTGAGCTAAAGAAGAGAGTATTTTGAAAAATAATTTTAGGAGTATTTTGAAAAATCATTTTAGGAGCAAAGGAGAGAGTATTTTAAGAAATCATTTTAGGAGCAATGGAGAGTATTTTGAAAAATAATTTTATGAGCCAAATAAGAGATTATTTTGAGAAATCTTTTTAGGGAGCAAAGGAGAGTATTTTTGAAAAATCAGTTTATGAGCTAAAGAAAGTATTTTGAAAAAAGCAAAGGAGAAGAGTATTTAAAAAATCATTTTAGGAGCAAATGAGAGTATTTTTAAAAATCATTTATGCGCTTAGAGAAGAGTATTTTGAAAATAATTTAATGACCTAAAGATGAGAGTATTTAAAAAAAATCATTTTATGAGCGAGTATTTTGAAAATTCATTTTAGGAGTAAAGGAGAGTATTTTAAAAAATCATTTTAGGAGCAAAGTAGAGAGTATTTTAAAAAATCATTTTAGGAGCAAAGGAGAGAGTATTTTAAGAAATCATTTTAGTAGCGAAGGAGAGTATTTTGAAAAACCTTTTTATGAGCTAAAGAACAGCGTATTTTGAAAATAATTTAATGAGTTAAAGAAAGAGTATTTTGAAAAATCATTTTATGAGCTAAATAAGAGAGTATTTCGAAAATTCATTTTAGGAGTAAAGGAGAGTATTTTGTAAAATCATTTTAGGAGCAAAGGAGGGTATTTTGATAAATCATTTTATGAGCTAAGGAGAGCATTTTTAAAAATCATTTTTTAAGCTAAGGAGAGTATTTTGAAAAATTATTTAATGAGATAATGAGAGTATTTTGAAAAATTATTTTATATGAGCTATGGAGAGTATTTTGAAAAATTATTTTATATGAGCTATGGAGAGTATTTTGAAAAATCATTTTATGAGTTAAGAAGAGTATTTTGAAATTTTTTTTTTAATGAGCTAAAGAAGAAATTATTTTTAAAAAATCATTTTATGAGCTAAATAAGGGAGTATTTTGAAAATTCATTTTAGGAGTAAAGGAGAGTATTTCGAATAATCATTTTAGGAGTTAAGGAGAGTATTTTGAAAAATCATTTTAGGAGTTAAGGAGAGTATTTTGAAAAATCATTTTATGAGCTAAAGAAGAGAGTATTGAAAAATCATTTTAGGAGCTAAGGAGAGTATTGAAAAATCATTTTATGATCTAAAAATAGAGTATTTTGAGAAATCATTTTAGGAGCTAAGGAGAATATTTTAAAAAATCATTTTAAGAGCTACGGAGAGTATTTTGAAAAATCATTTTAGGAGCAAAGGAAAGTATTTTGAAAAATCATTTAGGAACAAATGAGAGTATTTTGAAAAATAATTTTAAGAGCTTAAAGAGAGGATACTTAAAAATTTTCAGCTAACACATCTAACATTTAGAGAAGTTCAAATTCATTAATCAAAAAGTATAAATGGCAGAAGGTGATTTACCTCGCTTCCTTCAGATCCTTGTAGAACTTGTAAATGTTCTCTTCGTACTCCATAACTGCCAATTCATTGTACACATCTCCAGCATAAATATCTTCAATCTTCTCCTTCGGTAATTTAATGTTCAGTCCACAAGCAGCCTATGCAAAAACAATAAAAGTCCAAAAAAACTCTAAGTACTAATCCACACATAAGAGGCAAAATATAGATGTAATGTAATCTAGAGCAGAAGTCACAGACATATACAGAAAGAAGTGAGGGCACATATAACACTCATAGAGCATCAAAGCAACTTCAAAAGAAAATATAAATGAAAGAATTTCATATATCACAACAAAACAAAACTTTCTCATGTTTATCAACCCAAAAGGTCTATGGATAAGCAGAGCTAATAATTATTATCAGGAACCAGAAAAATGTTTCAGCCAGCAGTTAAATGCCCCTTAAATGAAGATAGTTGAAACAGAAAAACGAATGAATTATCAAGCAGGCAGGACTTAAAACTAAGCATGGTTACACGAAATAATCTTATCCATAACGGTTTTTATTTTCAAGTCAGGTAAAGCAGCCAAAAAAAAAAAGAAGTTATATCATGTTTATTTTTGCTCCTGCTATAAAAGATTGATTCTCACCTCAAACTGAAAACGACAATACAATCCCACATATAGCTTGATCATGGTTATATTTTCATCTCACAAGATTGAATATTCTATATTTGGAGTTGGAGGTTAAAATTGGTTAACATGAATTTACACAGCCAAAATCAACAGCACAATAAGTAAAAGTAAAGCTTTAAAAAACATGATTATTTATTGGAAAAAGAATTAGATACCTAACAGATGCCATAGCTTCTCATTCGTCACCTCACGCAAAAGACACTCAACTGATGTATCATGGTATTGGGCAGTTACGACAGGTTGCTTCTTTGAAGGAAGCTTTTTTGCTCCCAATTTTGGATCCATTGAGTTTTGGCCAATCAAGGCAAGCTTCCTAATAGGAGGCTGGGAACTCTTAGCTTGCATTTGCCTCTGATCTGAAGGTTGATTCCAAGAACTCTGTCTATTTATTGAGGGTGCTGGAGTCTCTGCTGGCTTGATTGGCTTCACAGTAGCTCTCTCCTAAGAAGGAGGCTTTCTAGGAACCTCCATTTGCAGCAGCAACTCCATCCACATTCACAGCATCATACATTTCTGCAGCAAATCAAGAGATAAGGCAGAGAACAAGTTCTTTAGAACTTCCGATTTACAGCAACAAAGCATGATGATGGGGTGGGGGGCATGGCATACAATAATTAATAATGGGTCCTAAGCATCATTTAACACTATTGAATAGAGAAATTATAGCCACCAACCTTGTTCTTGTCAGCAACTGCAGCTTGCGCATTAGCCAGTAGATGTGCACAAAAACCCCTTGTGAGGGGGCGAGTCACCTGAGGAAGCTGCTGCTTGCCTTCAACCCCTCAAACGGTAACCATATTGCCAATATCCCCAAGTATCCGGCGGTTCATTCCCTCTGCCGCCATGTTCTTTTGCTTTATTCCCTCAACTGCAAATCTGCAATTCATTTACATTAGGCAAGAAAACACCCAAAAATTAATATTTCTGATCTACAAAGACAAATGTCTCTTATAAAATTTCATCTTGATTACTCCATCAAATAAATTGAAAGACTCTTTTTCATACATCAAATCATAAACACTTTAGTAAATCATGAAGACAAAAATCAAAAGAAATGCATTCCATTAGACATTAACAAACACCCCAAAAATCTTACTTTTTAACAAAGAATATTTCTGTTCTGATCTATAATCAAATAAATTTACAGACTAATTGGCTTTTAACACTCCTTGATTTCATACATCAAATCAGAAAAATTGAAAGAAACGCATTCCATTAGGTAGCAAACACCCAAAGAAAAGGCTTTTTAACACAGAATTTTATATCTATAAGGACAAGAGTCTCTTATGAATTTTATCTTAATTACTCCAAATCAAATAAATTTACATAAAATTTAACTTCTATCAATCTTAGTTTTCATACATCAACTCAGAAACACATTAGTAACTCATGAAAAGAAAGATTGAAAAAACCCAATCAAGAGACCAGTATGAAATAAATCAAACAGTTCATGAGCAGTCAAGAACACAACTCCCCAGCCCTGGATAGAGTCCAAAAATCGGAAAAGCAAGAAAATCAAGACACCCAAATAACCTTTATCGACCATCAATCGAACGAGATTAAAGAATCATAGTAGTAATAAAATCTTCGAAATCAGATATATGATTACCTCCTCTATTTTGCTGTTGAACCACGGGTCTTGAAGCCATTCTTTCTGATATGCGTCTTTCTGGGTATCTCGCAGTCCTTCCTCGTCCTCCTCTTCCAACTCTCTCTGAGATCTTTCTCAATTTCTAGAAACAAAGGAACAAGCCCGATTATTAGAAGAGTTTAGATGGCGCCCCCTTTAAAGCTGTGGAATAGGGCTTCAACGGTCTTATGTTTTTTAAATCATAGCCATCTAAGGTATTGAGGCGGTGATACCATGCGCTGATTAAGGGAGAGAATAAAATTTTGAACACACCCACTCCCTCAACGGATAAATTAATCCTCAGCGGATAAATTAATCCGTTGAGGCGTTGAGAGGGTTTAACCTCTTTTTTTAAAAAAAATAAAATTTCATAACAATTTTTAAAAACCTTTTTAAAAAAAAATAAAATAAAATCTTCACAACCAACTTTTAAAAGGCAAATTTATTGCACAAAAATTATGGGGCCATGTGGACGTGCGCCGGGGATGTGAGTTGTCAAGATTCATGGCAGACTGGTTCGACTTGTCAAATGGGGACAATGCGACGAATTTAGCTGCTGTTTTCTGGGTTATTTGGGTAGCCCGCAATGACGTGGTGTGGCGAAGCAAAACCCCATCCAGCGACTGGGCGTGTGAACAACTGAGCAATTTGCAAGCCGACTAGAAGGAGGTCTACGCTGGCAGAAACCATACTCTAGGAACTGGTACTACTCTGACCGATTGGAGTCCACCACCAAGAAATGTTCTCAAGTGTAATGTGGATGCTATAGTTTCAAGGAATGGTGTTGGATTTGGCGTTGTGTTACGAGATCACGAGAGAGCTTTTGTTGCAGCAAAATGTGAACAGTTGGCCGGAGAGGAGGATCCGTTTATGGCAGAGGTTCTAGGGGTCAAGGAGGCCTTGGCTTGGATTAAGACGCAAGTTTATAGTAATATTATTTTAGAATAAGACTGTTTAAAATTTTGTACTGCCTTCAATTCGTGTTTTTCTGATTTTTCTTATGTTGGTTTAGTTGTGAAGCAATGTAAGTCGATTGCTAGAGATATTGGGAATGTAAGTGTATCCCATATCAAGAGGTCAGCGAATCGTGTGGCTCATGAGCTTGCTCGGGCGACCGTTTCTAGGCCTGTCTCAGGGGTTTGGACTAGTGTCCTACCTGATTGTATTACGCACTTATTCAATTCTAATCAGTAATGGAAGATTTCGTTTTTGCGTTAAAAAAAAAAGGCAAATTTGTGTGAAATTGTTTTTCAAATCTTTGTCGATGAAATATGTCGGATACTAATATTTAGACTGGAAAATATAATACTAATCAGGAATAAAATATTTATTTCTTATATAAGAAAGTGCATGTATGTAATACTTTTACATCTTAATTTAAAAGTATTACATTTTCCTTTATAATTAACAAGCACTTGTCAACATTACTTATAAGGAAAAATGTAATACTTTTTAATGAAAAATTTAATACTTTTAGGTTAAATGTAAAAGTATTAAATTACATTTTGCTTCAAAATATTACAATTTCCTTTATAAATAACAAATACTTTATTCCTTATCAATATTAGTTTTCTCTGCGAGAGAGACCTTCCAAATGTAGTCCTTCCAATAGCACATAAATAACTATAAATATTGAACACTTTACGTCTGTTGTGACGAATTTAGACGCGTAAAGTGATGCATGACAATTTTGTAATTAAAATTATCATCATTAAATTATTTTTTTTTTATTTTTAACCCCACAATAGACGCATATAGTCTTTTTCTTCTTTTTTTTTTTTTTGTTAAAAAATTAGTAAGTATTTGCGTCCTGTATCTACAAATCTAATAAAAGCCAATAAATTTAGTTCCCTAACGAAAATTTAAAAAAATGTTGGTGTAATTGTTTGTTGAAATGAATGATTCATATTATTTTGATTTTTTTTTTTTACTTTACCCCTATTATGTCAATTACTTTTCCTAAATACCCCTGCATTTTGTCAGTGTCAACTTTAGTAACAGAATATTTCGTTAACTATTTATTATTCTTAACGGAATACCACATAAGGAAGGTTTTAGGTTCAAACACATCCCAATCGAAATTGACATTATTATTAAACATAATATACTATGAATATGTTAAAGTTTATTAAAAATACAATATAACATTTAACATGAGCTTTGGTCAATTAATTATAATCACGCATTGGGCATTGATGAAACGGTACACCTAATTTACAGTATATATTCAACACAGATGATAAACCATGCCTATTATCATTGTCTTTTTAGGGAAGAAGGATTTGATTCTGTTTTTGAAGGTGTGCTGCGACAAGACACTAAAATTGCAGTGAAGCACACTAGGAGACTATATCAAATCAATAATTCATTTCTGGCGGAAATAGCAACAAGGGGAAGCATAGATAACGCCAATTAATAGGATTTTGTGTTGCAAAAACTATGCTTGGGTACTATCCAGTGAGGGTGCTTTCCTCTAAAACTATTATTGCACTAGTTAATCCAACATTTCTGCCACAGGTCATAGTTATGCATTATTGAAAAATTTACTTATGATAATCTTACATTGATATACGTTAGGATACCGAATGATACTTTGATAAATTCTAAAACACTAATTTAAAAACACACATTAGGCATTAGACTATTCGCGCAATACGCGTGTGGTAACTAGTATTAGTATACCACGCAAAAGAACGTTGCTTTTTTTTTTTTTTTTCAATTAAGTGAAAAGTTGCACGCGTCTTATATACCACGGAAACTATTTTCTGTTTTCTAATTTTGTAGTTTTCATTCTCTGTTTTATTTGTTTAGAAAACTTGGTTACTAACACTTATTTTTTCAATTTTTTTAATTAACGTTATAAAATAAATACAAGTTTAATTTCGAGTAATTTTTAGATATATTCATTTGAATGACATGTATATAAATATATATTTTTTACTTTGAAATTTGAATTCTAATATAGTAATATATGTGAAATTTCAATATCCGATATCCAGACCAAACTTGCATTACGATATAACATAACTAAAAATATCCGAACCAATAACCAATTGAGTTCAATCAAAATATAAAACTTGGCATAGGTTTCAATTTTTAATTTTGATAATATGAATAATGCATAAGTTTAAGCATAAGCAAATAAGTTATGTTTAAATATGTAATGCAAGTAGAAAAGATAGAAGATGATGATAAGTAAAAGAATATGATAATGAATGTAATCATAGTAGTGAATAAATATGTAAGTAGATAATGGTGAGAATATGATTATAGTGACATATAATCAAATAGATGATAGATGATTATATTTTTCATTTAGAAAACAATTTTTAATAGTTTTCGAGTTTTCTATAAAATTGGAAAATTATTTCATGTTTTCAAAATGGAAAAATGTGCTAGTAAAAATTTATAGTCTCTAATTTTCTAATTTTCCAAAAAACTGAAGAAATTTTCTAGTTAGTAAAACGGTCCCCTAAAAATTTTGTATTCTCATCAACACTTACTCAAATTTACATTCTACTCTCCCACATCCTTAGCAAAATTCCTTCACTGTCTCCGTCGTTGGCAGGTGTTCTTCGTACAGCATCGGTCGCCGCCAACTTGTCTCCATCGCAGCCCGCAGGTCTCCAAGGTTGCCGGTCGCAAAATTGTTAAGTCATCAGCGTATAATTTATTTTTATTTACTTTTTTTTTTTGAAACAGCATTTTATTTTATTTATTTATAATATATTGTTTCCAGTTTATTTGTTTATAACGGTTATTGCTCTCTGATGCTGGGGTAGGCGGAGGAGGAGGTAATGTTTCTTGCTCTCAGACTGTATTTCTACATACTGAAGTGGTCTTGTTCTTTGCTAGAATTATTGTCTTGGGCCTGTTTATGAGCCATTAAAGATTTAAGAATTACAATTGTTATTTTAATTTGGTCATTAAGTATTATAACTATTGCTTAAGTTGATTAAGTTTTTAATCTATCAATAGTTTTCAGGGCAATATAATAATATTTAGTTTTTAATTTTATAGCAAAAGCAATATTGTTGCACTACCACAAATAAAGCTTTTAACGTCAGTTTTTTGGCACTTTTAACGTCGATTTTCTTCGACGTTGTAAAAAACCGACGTCATCTATTGTCTTTAAATTTTAAAATTAACATATATGACGTCGGTGGTTTTTATGAAAAATCGACGCCGTAGCTTATTTTTTAAAAAAAAATGGACATAAAAACGTCGGTTGTAGGTCTTTTTAAAAAAAAAAAAAAAAAAACTACGACGTCGGTTTTTTTTTTATAAAAATCGACGTCGTATCTCTTTAAAAAAAATAAAAAAGAGATAAGCTGTAAAAACTACCCCTTCACTTAGAAGTCCAATATCTTCCCAAATATGAACAAAAATGGCATAAAAATAAAGGTTGCAATCTACAGAAAATATACAGGGAGTCACATAGGATGCATACCAAAAAATGGAAGCGTTATGCTGTGCAACTGTGTGTATCATGCAAAGTGCACACGGAATTGGATCCATAATTTCTATACTATAGATCCATAATTTCTATACTATAGATTCATAATTTCTATATTGTAGATTCACAATTTCTAAACTGTAGATTCATAATTTCTATACTATAGATTTATAATTTCTATACTATAGATTTATAATTTCTATATTATAGATTCATAATTTCTATACCATAGATTCATAATTTCTAAACTGTATAGTTATCAAATTATGAACATATAGTTCAGTGATTTGTGAATACAGAGTTCAACAATTGGGAATATGAACATAGAATTTTGTAATTGTGAATATAGAGTTCAATAATTATGAATCTATGGTATAGAAATTATAAATAAAAAAATCCTATGATTGAATGAATTCAAAAATCCTTAAAAATCCTAAATAAAAAAATTATTAAATAAAAAAATAATGGATGAATTCACAAGATGCAATCCTAAGATTGACCTCGTTTAATACTTTAATTTGATCATCATTCTTTCTCTTTGACTTCTAATTCCTATCAGTGATTACAAGTCATGTTAGGCTAAGGCAAGGCACCTAACATTCCTTAGATTGTATATTAAGAAAGAAAAGAAAATAAAAGAACAGGGATTGTATATTAAGTGATATATTGTTTGTATAATGGTA